AGAGAGAGAGAGAGAGAGAGAGAGAGAGAGAGAGAGAGAGAGAGAGAGAGAGCCAGCCAGCCAGCCAGCCAGCCAGCCAGCCAGCCAGCCAGGCAGACAGGCAGACAAACAGACAGGCAGACAGGCAGACAGGCAGACAAACAGACAGACAGACAGCCAGCCAGCCAGCCAGCCAGGCAGGCAGGCAGGCAGACAGACAAACAGAGAGAGACAGAGAGGGACAGAGAGAGACAGAGAGGGACAGAGAGAGACAGAGAGAGACAGAGAGAGACAGAGAGAGACAGAGAGAGACAGAGAGAGACAGAGAGAGACAGAGAGAGATAGACAGACAGACAGACAGACAGCCAGACAGAGAGACAGAGAGAGGGAGACAGAGAGAGCGAGAGAGACAGAGAGAGACAGAGAGAGACAGAGAGAGACAGAGAGACCAGAGACCATTAAAAGACCAATGGAGACGGAGAGAGACGGAGAGGGAGGAGAGAGACGCAGAGAGGCGGAGAGAGACCGAGAGAGACCGAGAGAGATAGAGACAGACAGAGAGAGACAGGGACAGACAGAGACAGACAGAGACAGACACAGACAGACACAGACAGGCAGGAAGGCAGGCACGCCGGCAGCCAGACAGACACACAGACAGAGAGACAGGGTGACAAGAGGACAGAGAGACAGGCACACTTTTTGAGTTTGAATGCGCTGCGAAGAGGTCCAAGCCTAGCGAAAAGGCGACAAGACAGGCGTGAATCATCGCGCGGCCAGCATATGGCGTGTCTTCGACACTCTCGCAGAGAGCTAGCATCCTGAGCCGAAGCTCCAGAAGATGCCGAGACGAGGAGGATATCACCGAACCATCAATCATCAACGAGCAATCCATAGAAAAGTAAGAGCATCCGAATCAGTACCATTGAGTTTCCCAGCTGACATAGCATCGTTTGTAAGATGCGCATCTCCGCGCTGATGAAAAAGCAGTGCCTGGCAATGACCACTCGTGGCAAGTCCACAAGTAAGACCACTCGTCAGCAGCCCTTTGAGCTGTTCAGCGTCAAACTTCCAAACCGGCCCAAACTTTCCGATCCTGAGCTAAAGGATTAAGGGTCCGCCAAGGGTCAGGATTTCCAAAAAGTCTGGAGTGGAGCTCGGCCACCTCTCGCTCGGGCTGGGTGGTGGTAGATTTCATGGCTTAGTTGGTGGGAGCCGGGGATAGGGGAATTACCGGCTAGTATCGCGTGGCGCGAAGGCGTTGATACGCCTGAGTCATAGTAAGTTCCGACCAGTGTGTGCGAGGATGGCCTGGCCTTTTCTTATGGAGTCGGCGACAAGCGTGCGCCGTCTGGAAGGCACATCAATGTTCAAGGGACTCATGGTGTCGGAGGGTTTTGGCATCCGCAAGGACGACACCCAGGTTTCGAGCTTTGGACCTTCTGTACCTACGAGACCTCTGGCACTGGCTCCATTTATTCTCACAAACTCCGGAAAAGGAGGCACACAAGCCACGAACACGTGTCCCTTGTTCAGTTGGTTGTAAGCTCGCTAGCAAGCTTCAGCGGGTGGGCCCTGGGTGCTCGCCAAACTGATGACTTGCTTTGGCAAACCACCTGTATGCATCAGGGATCAAGCTCCCATGTCCACGAGAGAGAGACGGCGGGAGGAGGGAAGGGTTGTGCGGCAGCAAATCCAAATACTGGGGGATGCTGAAGTTTGGCTCTGGCGAAGTTGTTTTGTTCGGGCGGTAACACAGTGGGGGCAACGAAGGAGGAGAAAAACCCGAAGGGGGCAGAGGGTGAGGCAGAGCGCGCGCCGAAGGCAACGAACACGGCACCCGAAGAAGGGGGGAGCAGGGCTAAAACCGACGAATTGCACGGCTTGGCGGGGAAGTCGGTGTGCCGCCGTCTTGACTCCTCGAGGTCATCCTGTAGGTTCCACGAATGAACCACTGCGGAGTTGACCGGCAAATCAACCTTGTCGAACAAGGGCTGCTGGCGTGCACGGCCCTTTGCCATTTGCACTGCGGCCAACAGGTCGATAGCTCAGCTTCCGTTCACCACAGAAAACACTCGGAGACTAGCGAAAAACACTCCGACCTCGGGCCTTCAAGCTGTCGAAAGAGAGCTCATGCGATCACTGCACAACTTCTCGCAACTGCTCGAACGACAACTCACGAACACTACACTCCCTAGTCCTGAGTGCACACGTGCACTACACTGCAAGATATTCAGGCCTCTACAGCGTTCTATCCTGACGAGGGCTGTTGGGCTTTGTTTCTTAGACTTTTGGCGGTTGTGCTTCACCCTAATGCATCCGAGCTTCGCTGCTATGGTGGCATTCCGTGGCTCGGCCCTAAGCAAGGCATTCTCACCGAAGTAGTCGCCATCCTTTCAAAGCGAGTCTCCAAGTTTCGATCTCCGTAGCTGTGCGCTGTGATCGCTGTGTTGCTCCCGGCAGGGCCCGGAGCCTTGAGCTGTGCCACTTCGTGGCCGTTCACCTGCACGGAGCAGATGCCGGACCTGCAAGATGCGCCGTGCTCTTCCTGGGACATCACCGTGACATCACCCATCACCCTATCCTTCACATCTTGCCTGATGACGAAGAGCTCATGGCCCTCGTCACCTTGCTCGATGACCACATCACCTCAGTGCTCAACTTCTGCCAGGAGCGGTCTCAACAGAGCATTTCGCAGCAATCGACATGGCAGCCAAGCGTCCTGGTAGGAAGGTTTTGCTTGCACATGTTGGTGCTAAGGTGGGCAATAAATCTTCTTGTAACCTTTTGAATAGCGGAACCTGCCACCAGCTCCCAACTCAGTCCAGCTCCTATTTAATTGCAAACTTCCCACGCCCATGACACCCATCTTTCCACCCTGCCTTGTGGAGAAACTCTAGAATTTCAGAGCTTACGAGAGTGGGTGTGGAAGCGATGGAGACCAAGTCGTCCTGGGCGGTGGCCAAACCAACGAGCTCACACCGTTCCTTTCAAGTTCCACCGAGACTCGTCATCAACATCAGCTTCAACTCTTTCTTCTTTCTTGCAGACGCACCCATGAGCGACTCCCATGATGCAAAGTCAAGCAATCTAAGCCTGGGCTGATCGTCATGTAGCCTTCTCTTGTGATGGTGCAGTTGGTTGGGCTTCACACAGGGACGAATAAGGCTTGAAGGTGTGATTCATACCCCGGTTGCCTATCAAAGGTCAGGTGCATCTCACCTGCTGGCGGATGTGCAAAGCAAAGATGTCTAAGCACTAAGCTGAATCATTGTCGTTCGTATCTCACAGTCGCAGAACCGCCTTTTATTCTGCAACTATGAATCGTGTCAGCACCGGTGAGACTCCCCAAAGCAAAGCTGATTTCACAGGTTGCCAGCGTTGGGCACATCTACTTCGACTTGGCCTGCACATTCCATGCAATGCGAGCCACATAACGAACGAACAACGACTTTAAGCAACCCTGACTGCCACACCTCCTCGTTCCTTGCGTTTCTTTGGCCCGAAAAACCTTTAGCCGCAAGGTCTTCCAGTCCTTCCTGCACAGGACAGCACGATGCCCATGTCCGGCTCAGCAACGCCCTCAAAAAAAAGCAGCAACCCATGGCGGTGTGCCTGCATGGATGCTTTGACAAGCGCAGCGAGTCGTATTGCCTGCCACAGCTGGTCTAACAACCGAGTGGAGCAAATTTTCCACACGAGGCATATTCACAGAGGCAGCTCAATTCCCGGAGTCGATAGGTTTCCCAAGCATTCCCCCCACATTTCTCTGCGTCGCTGGGCTCGATCAGGCATTCACGTGCTTTTTCCCCTCGCTCGCTAGCTTTTGCAGGAATCGAGCCTAAAAGGATTCCTCCGCGCCTTCGTTCTGGTATCAGAATCCGGGAGCGACTCTGCAGAAAGCAGCGCGTGGCTGCTGCCCAACTTCCACATCTCAGGAAATGCGAAGTTGCGGCTTCAGATCGGCTTGCCCTTCCGAGCATCCGGCTCTGATACCGATGCGGGCGGGAATGCCACCCACGAGCGACTCCACTGGCCAGCAAACCTCTCAGGACCAAAATGGCATACTTTGCAATATTCAGACATCGGGCGGCAATCGGCTGCATCTGAAGAGCATTGGTTCCCAGCATGGCCAAGCACCAGATGTCCACCTCACAGGTACTTGTTCAATGAAACACCACACGAATCCATGAGGCATTGAAACTGATCATGTGTGCTCAAGCCAAGCTCCCCACATCTGTTTGCACAGCAACAGAAAAAGCACCAGCACGGAACTCCTCCAGGTCAAGCAAACATAAGGAACATACAAAACGGACACACATGCATACATACAGACAGACAGACAGACAGACAGACATACATACATACATATACATACGTACACATACACACACAGAGACAAAAACAGAGAGACAAACAGAGACACAGACACGCAAAGACAGACAGACATAGACGGACAAACACAGACAGGCACAGACAGACAGACAGAAAGACACTGACAGACAGAGACAGACAGAGACAGAGAGATAGAGAGAGAGGACAGACAAATGAACAGAAAGCGCACGGAGGCAGGCAGGCAGACAGCCAGACTATTTTGTAACATAACAATCTAAATGTGTTGGTTTGTGTAGGTATGCATGCATGTATATTTGTCTGTTTCTTTGTATGCATGTTTGTACGTATGCTTGTGCGTTTGTATGTATGTTGGTATGAATGTGTGCAAGTAAGCAAGTAAGTAAGTAAGTAAGTAAGTAAGTAAGTAAGTACGTCATTAAGTAAGTAAGTAAGTAAGTAAGTAAGTAAGTACGTCATTAAGTAAGTAAGTAAGTAAGTAAGTAAGTAAGTAAG